ATCAGGAATCCACTACATTGAATTTCTTCCCGACAGCGTCCAAACCCGCATGCCCTGAAAAGTAAAGGTGTTTTCGGGATAAACAGAAAGTTAATGTTTTTCACATTAACAATATTTGCCAGATCTTTGACCTTTTGACTTTCGTTTTTAATTCCAAGTTTGAAAAAAACACCTTTCAGAAGGAAAAAAACAAGTCCAGGAAATCATTGGATCTCTGCCATTTTCCAGTATACTAAGGGTCATACCCAAAATGAGTTCTAAAAACAATCAGAAATTCGATAAAAAAAATGTTACGGACATGTGTTTGAATTAAAAGAGATTAATAAGTAAAATTATGAAGACTAAATCATTGAAAAGTGTCGTTTGCTTCTTTCTGAGCACCGAGGACATTATTTGAACAGCCCTCGTATGTCTAAAAGTCCCATCACATTTACATTTATTTATTACACTGTGAACTGGAAAGATTTCCAACACTATCGACATTGTCATTGCATTGTTACAACGCGAAATGTAATAACAACGCGAAATGTAATAAACCTGGATTATTACATTTTGCGTTATTACATTTTGCGTTGATCTCGACGCAAAATGTAATAACGCATAATGTAATAACACGATTTTTAGATTATTACATTTTGCGTTATTACATTTTGCGTCGAGATTAACGCAAAATGTAATAATGTGCTTTTTCGTTGTTACATTTTGCGTTATTTTATTTTTGCACTGAAGACAACGCAAAATGTAATAAAATAATATGTAATAAAACAAAATATAATTAATGTTTTTTAATTGCGTATAACAAAAGTGAACATAAAATTGATTCAAATATATACATGTAACCAACATGGAAAACACGTTTCTAATTTGCGACACCTATAATTTGAAAACATTTATTAAACTGATTTTGAATACATGTAGCTAATTAAATGAATATATTATAAAATAAATTAATTAAAATAATTAAAAAAAAAATGCATATACCTTTTTTTCTGTTGTCTTATTTTATATTCATCGGCCACTACACTATTGAAAATTGTACTTCTTCTGGCTGACGAAAAAAAGTGTGTTATTACATTTTGCGTTTTTGCCTTTTGCTTAATCTCGACGCAAAATGTAACAACGCAATATGTAATTATCCAAAAATTATATTGTTACATTTTGCGTGATTACATTTTGCGTTGATATCGACGCAAAATGTAATAACGCGAAATGTAATAATCCTCAAATGTGTGTTGTTACTTTTTGCGTTATTACAGTCTGCGTTGATTTCGACGCAAAATGTAATAACGCAAAATGTAATAATCCAGGTTTATTACATTTCGCGTTGTTATTACATTTCGCGTTGTAACATTGCATCCATAGGAAAAGGCAGGCTATCCCTAGTTTACTTATCCAAAATTCTTCTCGATGTCTATGGAAATGTATACTCAGTGATGGGCTGTTTGTGTGGTGATAAATCTTTTCGAAAATTCTTATTTTCATTGACAAAATAGAATGATCAGGTAAATTAAAATGTTTGTATAAAAGCTGCCGACCCCCTTGATTTATATGAAATCGATAACCTTATATTCTTTTATTAAGTAACCCCTTGGTTTCACCAATATGAACAAATCCACCCACATTACATCATATTCCGTAGAAAAAATTAGAAGATTCACAGTTCAGATTTCCCTATGATCTGGTATAAAAGCTCTGTCGAGTAACATTACTAGTGAAAGAAGTGTTTGTTATCAAAATGTCACAGGTTTCAGTTTTCCCAGATTGTTTTGAAACAGAAGACATGGAATCAGAAAAGGAAACTTCAAATATATCTATGAAATAAACCCTACATTCTTTCAATTATTTGTATGAGCTATAAGATGTAAGAATATTTTGCAAATTAAAAAAAACGTGTACTCGCAATTTGATTTGATTTAGAATTGATTTTAAGCTTTATAATTTTCCTGTTTTTAAATGAATCTTTTTTTTTTCATTTGACATCTGATATCAGGAACCTTCCTTTGCCATAAATATATTGTTGATAAAGTGTATTTTTATTATATTTGAAATAAAACTGACGAAAAGAAATATTTCCCCCTATTTTTTTTAAGTGAAAGCTTAAAATTATTCTATATGATAAATACATTATATAGAATATTACGTTGTAAAAAAATCTAGGCTGGGCAGAAAGGAACGTGTACATGTAAGTAATTCCCTTTGTTAATGAAAATAATAGGAATAGTTTTCTTAAAACCTTTAATTTCAACTGTTTTTAACTATAGTCACTCTGATATATAAACTTAGGGAAAGTTATTACGTTACCAATAAAGGACAGACACCACAGAGTCTGTCATATCTGCTTCATTTTGAATGTTCTACCGACCAAAGTCGACAATTGCCAATAATCGACTAAAATGTATGTTAAATGAGATGACTTCAGGTTTTCCCTCGTCAACTTTCCTTATTTATGTAGTTATCTTTCGCTTTCACCTGAAAATGGTAATTATATATCCCAGCATATTTGCTGCGCAACAATATATATTCAAGAAGTAGTGTGAACAAGATATTGATTCTCCAAATTTCCAAAGAACTTTTGGACAACTTAAAATCACAAGATTTTTACCAAAATCAACGACTTACTTACGACCTTTAAATTTTATACATGATCATTTCCAATGATTATTAAAAAGTCAGGCTTTTTGATATCATTGACAGCTGCTTTTTCAATTAAAATGGAACTTGTAAAATTACTTACATTGGTGACTTGCAAAATTATTTTGTTAAAATACATTCTGATTGTAAAAACAAGTACTCTGACGTTGACATCGAAAAGATGCTTGAGTTTTTGATTGACAGTATCATTGAGGTTTTTGAAGACCAGGTATTCCAACAACCTGTTGACATTCCCATGGATTCTAATTGCCGTCTGTTATTAGCAGAACTATTCTTTTATTCTTATGAAGCAGAATTTGTGCAAAATCTTATGCATGAAATAAAGTAAACACTTCCTGTGGTCTTCAACTCGTCATTTAGATAGATCAACCACGTATTGTCAATTAACAATGTCTTTGTCCATTCTTGTGTCGATACGATATATTTTAGTGAGCTTGAGATAAAAGATATCACAAAGTCTGAAACTTCTGTTTCATACTTGAAAAGTTTCAAACTTGGATATTTTACTTAATAAAGACGTTAATGGTAATCTAACAACCAATCCCTATGATAAAGTTAATGACTTTAACTTATCTATCGTCAACTTCCATTATTTATGCAGCAATATACCTTCATCACATGCACACAGAGTTTATAAATCTCAGTTGATTCGATACGCGAGAGCATGGTCTATGTATAAACAGTTTCTATAAGGATGAAAATTATTGACAAACAAGTTGATGAAACAAGAATATCAGTTGTCTCGTTTAAAGTCATTATATCGCTAGTTCTATGGTCGATACAATGACTTTTGATTTCGTTTCGTTTCGGTAGGTTTCATTTTGATTTCGTTTCGTTTCGATAGGTTTCGGTAGATTTCGTTTCGTTTCAGTTCGTTTCGTTTCGTTTTTATTTCGTTTTGCACTTTACAGGTACCCCAAAATAGAAGACATTGGATGGGAGAAATATACCTTTAAATATACCTTTAATAGAAACCTTACATTCTTTAAATATTTTGTTAGAGGTATACAGTAAAATGTAAGAATATTGTAGCGAGGTGAGTGAGGTGAAAGAATCAGTGAGTGAATGCTTGATAAAAATCCACAATGATTATATAAATATATTATTATTTGAAAACTGAAATGTGGAAAGAAAAAAAAGAATATTGTAGCGAATAGAAAAAAAGGTGTACTCACAATTTGATTTGATTTAGAATTATTTTAAAATTAATATTTTTTCTGTTTTGAAAAGAATCTTTTTATCTTTAATTTGACATCTGATATCAGTAAGCTTCCTTTGCCATGTATTGTTATTAGAGTGTATGTTGTATTATTCTTTAAATAAGACTGGTGAAAAATAATATTTGCCCCTAATTTTTAGTGAAAACTTTCTTCATTTTAAAAATGATTTTATATGATCAATGTATTATATAAAGTTTTACGTTGCACAATAGCAGATATAGGTGAGCGAAAAAGGAAAGTATATATGTAAGTACTTTCTCTTGTTTATAAAGAGTTGTCTTAAAACCTTTTTTGAATTATTTAAAACTTTAAAAACCTTAAAATCTTATGTTGGTTTTTATAGTGATTTGTAATTATAGTCGCTGTATCTGATATACAAAAGTAGGGAAAGAAATTTAATTACCAATAAAGAAAGGACACCACAGACTCTGTCACATCTAGTTCATATTTGGATGCTCTACTGATTAAAGAAAAAGGTCAATAATGAACTACATTGTATGTTAAACGAGATGACTGAAGGTTTTCCTTTATCAACTTTCTTTATTTATGTACTTATATAAGCTATTACATGCAAGATGTGTCCAATTTTATTTGCTATTCAAGAGAATACTTGGAGAACAATTATTTTTTAACCCTAGGCAAGCTACTTATACAACAGTTAAACGTATCTCAAGAACCCCCTCAGCATTTAGTAAATACATGGTCGTTATAATGACCATATTAGCAAATATGCCTATCCTTGTATATCCTTACATCTCATGGTTTAGGAAAGAACCCTGAAAATGTTGGAGCTCGATGGTTAATAGAATAAAATAACCTAAAGTAGTATTCATATATTAACTTGATTTTTAAAGCCCTTGCATTTAAACTTAATATGATGAATCCTTTTGAATTAAGTGAGTCTATTGTAGATTATTACTTCACACGGTGCACTAAAATGATCATCCTTTCAATTCTTGGTTGCATTCGACCCTTCCTTGTCCAAAGATACATACAATGTTAATTCCCTAAATAAGCATGCTCACTTGGATTTTTATCAGTTTTTTTTTAAGTTTAGCATCACTGTCATTTTAGATACATGTCCTATATCAACTTGAATTAAAGTGTTGCTCTCTCCCTTTTCTTGTAGATTACAATGTATGAAATATATAACAGACGTCAGTAAAACCAACGTATAATTTTGTTTAAACTGCAAATAAAACTGTTGATGGAAGATTGGTAAATCTCTTTCTATATCTCTTACAAGAAAAACAGCTGCTATTTTTCAAAGAAATGAAATAGGAAATAAAAGAAAAAAATTATAGCTAAGGAAATCTGTTTTGTCTATTATTTATCATATCACATTTTACCATTCTGACAGGAAATGTATTTTCTAGGGTCACAACTTTTTTCCTTATATTAATCCTTTTCATCATTGTGGTGCATGGAATACTGGCTTTAATCATCTCAAGAGCTTGTTGTAAAAAGTATTGTTGCGACAGAGGAATGCAGACAAGGTCCTACCGAAGTAATAGTACATTGTCAGGTATTTAAATTCCATAGTTTAACACTATCATAAACATTAAGAAATAATTTTTCACGATATTTTTATTTATAAATTGTATTTGTCAAATGCAATTTATTTTGTAGACTTTTCTATCTCGTTTATTTTTCTTTTTTGTCGTAATCAATATACTTATAACATTTTTCTAATACATGTGCATGAAATTAATTGCTTGTAGTTTTCTCTTAAACATCTATCGTGTGTTCGTTTAAAACTTTTGAATGTAACATTGTATGAATAATTTCATGATCAAATAGATTCTGAAAACCATACATAGTGTTCACATTAAATGAGCATAATATATTCAATAGTCAATATGTCATTTTTTTTTTCTGACGATGAATTATCATGCAATTTTGGAAACATCAATGCCTATGATTTTTATAAAAGGACAAGATAGGGTAACGGCCAAATCTGGCCCCTTATTTGATGTAAAAATCAGAACACTGGTAAAATTGTGATACTAGTAGTTTGTAGTTAAAAAGTTAAAATGATGCTTACTTTAAAACCAGCAATTTTTTGCATTCAAAGCTTACACGGAAGCCTCTAGAAAGTAAACAAAGTAGGGCATTTTTTAGATTTTCTCAATTCTGATAGAATTTCATCATATTTGAGACACTTTTCTTTTCGGAAAACATTGAGCACAAGCTTGCCTATCTGAGATTTTTACACATAAACTGCATCCGATTCTAGTGTATAGAATATATAAATTTGGTAGATAGGCAAGCTTGCGCTCTATGTTTTCCGAAATAAAATATGCACTAAAATTGACGAAAATTTACTTTAAAGTGAGAGACTTCGAAGATTGACCTATTTCCTGACCTCTCTGTGACCTCTGTATATTCTTAGTCTTAAAACCAATACTCATTTTGTTGCAGGGGTGACAACAGATTTTTATAGATACACTGTTAGATCATTTTGAAAGACACCCAAAATCGGGGGCCATATAGGGGTCTTTATATAGGGTCCTTTCGATACTCACTTTTCATGGCACTTAATCCCACCTCCAATGATTTAGAGGTCTACGTTTCCCCAATCTTGTTCTAGTTGAATTTGTGCATGATAAATGTTTCTTTTCTTCACATGCGGCTCTTCCGGAAGACAGTGTTATTTTCTGGAGAAACGTGGCTCTATAATAGAGAGGATATGGTTCATATGGTTCATATTACATTTACATGTTTCAATAGATCAAAGGGCTAGATCATCCAAATCTAACAGGATAATTTCGACATATCAGATGATAGTTTACATGGTATGTCATTTACAGGGTATTTTAACTTTAAAAGAAAAAATGGAAAGACCGTACTAAAAGGATATCAAAGGATAAATTTTCCTACATTTATAATTTTAGTTAGTCAAGCATCCAATAGGCAATCAAATATCCATATTTCACGGCCATTGTTAGATGGTATGCATTTTACTGAACATTTGCATCAGAAAAGTTTTATTTTTTGAAGAAGCAATTAATGTCAGAAAATTTAATGAATTATTTTTTTTCATATATATTTTCAGGATATCGTGCATCTAGACTGACAGGGATCCAATGTACGACACACACAACATTAAATCCTACTATGCATAGCCCATCACCTACAGAAAATTTCGATCTAAATAGCTTTAGTGAAGAACCCAGAAATGCGCCGATATCCCCTCCACCTCCTGGAAATACAGAACAGGAGGAATACCATATTGTAACTGCTGATATAACTGAATCCTCAAATTTCCTGAGTGATGGTTTTGAAGATTGTCCGGATGTGCCCCCTCCTTCGTATAGCAGTTTGTTTGAATAGTAACTGTTAGACCTGTCAATGAATTGTTATTTTAAAAGTATGTATCTTAAAAAGTTAGATATGACTTTTAATGTCACAGAACAGAAAAAAAAAAATTCAAATATTTTTTTTTAATACACGTGTTTTTTTTTTTTTTTTTTTTTTTTTTTTTTAATGTATTTTAAAGTAAATTGATGATTCACAATAAATGTATCTTTTTTTTATCTAAGTTGTTGTTGATTTCTTCTAAATATACCTGGCGATTATTAAGCTCTGAACCAACTTCTTTCCGTAACTCAAATGCATATGCTAATAAAATGTTATACATTCATGGATTATGGACAAAATGAAGCGCTTTTTTATCATAAATTGAATAAATCTCATATTTTATAAGTATTTGGAAATATATTTCTATGGTCGGAACTAACCATCCCCAAAAATAATGCCCTATTTTCTCCCGTATTCTGATGATAAAGTATCCTTGACTTAAAGTTTTTTGCTGGTAATTTTAGGAAAATGTTTCTTATCAAGATTTTTTTAAAGGATGAACCAGGAAATTTTAATTAGGACAGTTTCTGCAAAAAACAGTCAGAAATTCTTATTTGGCAAATAAAAGCTTGTTTGTTGCTTCATGATATCGCCAGAAGCAGTCAGGATTCGAGTAATTCTGCAAAGCAAGTTATGAACTCTACATATAATACGCTGCATTTTCCAACTACTTATTCTTATGAAACATTGATGTACGAAGGGCTATCAAAAAGTCGCCGACTAGTGCCATGAATTTGAAACCTCTTAAGGTACATCAATGAATTTTAACATAATTAGTAAGTATGATCTTTTCTCTCTATAGAATATACCATATGATACAAGATTGTTTGTTTCCAAAAAAGTGTTAAGAACACCAGAACCCATGTCCCTGGGGCCTGTAAAATTCACAATCTTGAAAGAAACACTCTTCTTTATCATAACTGTGTGCATAGTTTATTGGTTTAATACCTAGTAGCAGAGAAAAAGATTTTTTAAAGTATAAAAATTTTTTATAAA